CCAGATTTCCGTCATGGTAAGGACGGTCCCAGATTTCAGAGCCTTCAAAGAAGATCTTCACTCTGAAACCTGGGCAAAGTCTGAGGATAGCAGGTTGTGTGCCACTTCACTCTCCTGTCTCTTTCTCTCTGAATAAACATCTTTTATCAGGAAGCCCAGAAGAACACAGCCAAGAAGCAGGTAGGTGACTGCTATTCCCCTCTTGCTGAAATCACAGCCACTTGGGGTCAGAGTGATGGCAGGGGTGGCTCAGGCCTTGAACACGTGAGAATAGACTGTCTCGTCAAGGCGCTGACGTAACACACATTCTGCCTGACTTGGTGCATTGTCTCAGGTCTCAGCACTCACAATGGATGCTCTTAATTCTACACACAATTCCCAAATGTGAATGAGGATCTTTGGCCAGCCCTGCTTCAGTGCATGGAGGGTAGGAGGGACCACCACGAAGGCCCCACCTTCCACCATCCAAATGCTTATCAGAAGGACGAGCTTGGGTAATTTTGTGATACGTGACAGGATGGGGTCAGCAGACTGGCCAAATCCACATTCAGTATTTCCTATCGTGAGGTCTTTGGTGTCAGGTGACACTAAAGAATGAAAATGGTTAAAAAAAAAAAAATACCTCTGGTGAACCAGTTTCCGACAGGCTAAGAATGCAGCTTTCAAATCACTTCCATTACTTGGCTTAAAGAAACTGTAAAGCTAAGTGAAAGAGACCACAGAGCTAAAGGTCAGAGGACCTGAGATCTCACTCTCAATTCCCACTAACAGGCTGAATGACCAAAGATAAGTCATTTGTCCTGCTGCGTTTCTGTTTTTCCATTGAAAAACTGTAATAAAGTACTTGCTTTGTGGGGACCCCCTGACCAGAAAATGAGGCAACCTATAAAATACACATTTAAATATAAAATCATGGCTGGCCACAGTGGCTCACCCCTATAATCCCAGAACTTTGTGAGGCCGAAGCGGGTGGATCACATAAGGTCAGGAGTTTGAGACCAGCTTGGCCAACATGATGAAACCCCATCTCTACTAAAAACATAAAAAATTAGCCAGGTGTGGTGATGAGTGCCTGTCATCCTAGCTACTCAGGAAGCTGAGGCAGGAGAATCACTTGAACCTGAGAAGCAGAGGTTGCAGTGAGCTGAGATCATGTCACTGCACTCCAGCCTGGGCAACAGTTTCTCCAGAGAGAAACTCCATCTCAAAATCAATAAATAAAAATAAAATTACTCTGCAACTAGTGAGTACAACCTGAGTTTCTTTTTTCTTATTTTTTATTTTTTGGTCTGTTGCCCAGATCATTGCCCAGGCTGGTGCAATCTCCACCTGCAACCTCCGCCTCCCAGGTTCAAGTGATTCTCCTGCCTCAGCCTCCTGAGCAGATAGGATTACAGGTGCCTACCACCACACCCGGCTAATTTTTGTATTTTTAGTAGAAATGGGTATCGCCATGTTAGCCAGGCTGGTCTAGAACTCCTGACCTCAAGTGATCCACCCACCTCAGCTTCCAAAGTGCTGGGATTACAGACATGAGCTACCACACCCAGCCCAACTTGACTTTCTTAAGACCTCATATGCCTTCTGGATCCAATAAAATAAATCATGATTAAAATAATAATAATTTTAAGAGGTTCCTATAACGTAGAAACTGCTGTTATTTCAACCCCCCAAAATGGCTTGTGGGGCCCTAACGTTATGTGTAGAATATAGAAAGTCACATCAAAATTCGGAGAAGAAAAAAAAAAAAAGAAAAGAGGTTTAAAAGATTCACTCCACCAATCTCTTAGTAATTTTCGTGCTCATTATCAGTAAGCTGTGTTGAGCTACTTGGGCGTGCAGTGACTTGAGATAATTAAGAATGCATTTACATTTTATGGAGCCACTAATGCCCTCAGCATTCCAGAATCCTGCATTAGATTTGCTCATGGTAGTTTTCTCCAATCAGTGAATATTAAAATATTTAACCTGTAGTCAGGCAATAACCTCTCAAGACACTAGGACTTGATTCAGTGATGTCAAGAAGTCAAAAGGGGGTTTGTCAACAGAGAAAAACTATAGCTACCCTCCAAATTCTCTTTCTGTGAGGTTTTTTTTTTTTTCCTCCTCTTTTAATTGCTTGAAGGATCTCATTAAAATTTCCCAGTTAAAGTGAGAATTGGAAGGGCCACAGAGCAACTTGTGAAAGAATGGCTTTTAACACAATTTCCAAATGACAACACAAAAAAGGGATGTTGCCCATCATTGGTCCTCTAAAAAATGAGAATTCCAAGAAGGTGGGAAATTTGACCAGATGAACTTGTGGAGTCCCTTCCCACTCTGAGATCTATGTAGTGCACAAAGACCAGAATTTGCAATTTCCCTGTGTCCCAGTCTTCTGAGTCACCTGGAAAACAAAGATCCAGACTCTACTTAGTGCATGGAATTGCCCCTGGACCTCACCTGGAGAGAGAAGAGCCCTGCCAGGTAGCCCCTGAAAGATGTTTTGCAATGGCAGCAGATGGAAACTGTCCCCCATTCCCCTTTGCGAATTTAGCAAGCCATCCTGCAAACTGATGTGAACCAGGGAGTGAGATGGGCTGAATTGCAAGCATGCTACTGCATTGCCACGCCTTTTTTTTTTTTTTTTTTTTTTTTTTTTTTTTTTTTTTTTTGAGACAGAGTTTCGCTCTTGTTGCCCAGGCTGGAGTGCAATGGTGCAATCTGGGCTCACCACAACCTCTGCCTCTGGAGTTTAAGCAATTCTCCTGCCTCAGCCTCCTGAGTAGCTGGGATTACAGGCATGAGCCACATCCTTGGCTAATTTTTGTATTTTTTAGTATACAGACTAGGGTTTCTCCATGTTGGTCAGGCTGGTCTCGAACTCCAAACCTCAAGTAACCTGCCTGCCTCAGCCTCCCAAAGTGCTGGGATTACAGGTGTGAGCCACTGCACCCGGCCTGCCACACCTCTTACTTGGGCAAATGCACATAAATAATTGAGCAAAATAAATTGAATCCCAACTCAGTCAACACAGCATCAGGCAGTCAAAACCACCTGGGACTAGGTATGTGAAGAGGGTAAAAAAACAGAGCATTTAGAAGTCTTATCTGTTTGTGGTTCTAATTTTCAAAATCAGAAGAGACGTGTCCCCTAGGAGGCTGGATCCTGCTTAGGAAGACATTTGGACTAGGTAATAAAATAATATGAAAATACCAAAAAATAAAAATAAGGAAGAGAAATAGGTATGTAACTTTACTCCAGGACTCCTGTGGTATCTCACAACACCATGCTTCATGAACCCCAAAGAAAGCAAAAAATCCAGCTAGTGTTATAAATCCTGGTCAGCTGAATTATTTCACATGTTGCAGCCTGACTTAAGTTATTCATCGCAGAGGCTAGCAGCTCCCTGATGCATCCTTCCATGTCACTGGACAGGGTAAAAATAATAAATTGGCCATTGTGAGACACTCTGAGTTTCGTGGGGTTGAGCAGAGCATATTTTATATTCTTCTCTTGGAACTGCCTCTTGTTGGTAGTAAATGGTTGCCAGCGTTGCTGTTTCTCAATAGACAAGTCCTAGAAGTAAAGATAATTCAATTTTCATTCACTCTTAGCTCTTCTGCTACCTGTGTTCTTCTTTGACACCAACAGGGCTGTACCTGTCTTCCTAGCCTGACGTAGCACTTGTATGGTTTGCCACTCACCAGAAAATCCACGAGCCACTCTAAAAACCTCTTGTCCAGTATAGACCACTCCAGTGAGCACAAATTGTCTAGTGGTTTTCTCAGATGGTCTTCCTCCTTAGCTCATTTCTCTCTCCAAGAACAAAGATATCAAGGTGTTGATTTAGCAGCATCTCCTCAAAGTCAATCTAGCTTGGTTTAAATCTTTAAAGGTTTTCAGTAAAAGAGAAAATATAATAGCAACAGTAGCATACTCTGCTACACTGAAATTCAATTACTACCCTTTCACTGTTGGGGTGGCAAGTATAATTTCTATCACTTCTTTGGAAAGCAATACAAATTACTAAGGATCACCAAAATGTTTATGCTTTTTGGAACCAATAACCTCACTGAAAAAAATTTATTCTAAGAGTATGATTCAAAAAAAAAAAAGTAATATACATGTACATGTTTCTTCCTGTGAAAACAACACAGAATTTAATAAACAAGTTGTGAAACGGTTGGCTATGTGGTAACATGGAACAGTGTTCTCCTATAATGTTAAAGGATAAAAGCTTAGAGAATAGAATATATTCGATGACTGCAACTAGGAAAGAAAACATAGATCTACATAGGGATGAAGATGATAAGTGTACAAATATAGGTATTGGGTTAATGGTTTATGTGTTTTTTCTTGCATTCAAATTTATCTTTATTGTTGCTCTTTTATGTTCCCCCTTTCTTCCCCCCAAATAACCTAAAGGTCTTGAATATGCCCCTATCAGTATTTGACATTTCTTCTAAAACTGTATCTAGATGACTCAATCTGATCCACTTTTTTGAACAAGGTGAATAGGAAGTTTATTCTTTTTATTGTTTTTTTCTTCTGTTTTTTAACAGCCAGACACAGGTCTTTAATTGTACAGCTGGCTTCTTTGTTTGGAATATGTTACTTTCAATCATTTTCATGACCCTCTGCATGATTTACAGAAGCCGAGTGGTATGCTTTAGCATTTCCGTGGTCCTTCTTCTCCACGATCATAAGATTCTTAAGTGAATTGTTTTCAGAGCTATTATTTTCCATTTACAAAGGCAGAATGCAGTGGCAGGAGCTGGGACTCTGGGAAACCAACAGCCAAGAATTCAAACTACAGCATACGACAAAACACTCAGATACGATGTCCCCATCATATTCTATCATTGGGCAAAATAAAATGTAAACCACATAGCCAAGGCGGCAAATATTGTGGGTGACAGTGACACTGGTATTCAGAAAGATGAACAAATGCAATTAAGAAACCAGGCAAAGAAGTAAACATGCCATGTAGCTTACAAAAAGACCAGCCACATTGTGTTTATTGTAATATTGTTTAACGGTAACACCTAATAAAGAGAGCATCACGATTGTGTGAACTAAATTTTCAGTCATAATGAATGCTACAAACTTAACCTCCCAAGTTTAAATAGGCTACAACGTCTTGGGGAAAAATGCAAGAAGAATTATTTGATAAAGGTGACGGTTTTTCACACCTGAAAATAATGTTTTTCTTCCAGCCTATCTTGATCAACAGCCAGCAGCAACACATTGCAGATATAATCTCAAGACCTTGTGGCATGTACTTGTCACTACATGCATAACTTACTATGGACAGAGGATCACGGAGATTTTGAACATAATTTCCCACACGACAGGAGATTAAATAGACCACACTGGAAGAAGGCAAGAAGAAGCTAGGTCTCTGGAGTACCAAAAAGTAAACTTCAGCCAGTTCTGGAAGCAGATAAACAGCAGGAAATATACTTTCAGATGGGCTACTTTCTCAATAGTTCCTGCTTTCAAGAGCTCTAGGGAAAGTATGAGTTACTGGGTAAGAATGTAACAGAAAAGGGGCCAGCCTTGGGAAAATCTGCAGTGGAAGGAAACCAGTATCTCCTTATTTACGTATTTCTTTCTCCTCTTCCTTTGTAATGCTACCTTTCTTGGGGTATTCCTTCTCCCTAGAATACTCTGCCTGTCACCCCACAAGAACCTGCTCTTGAGACAGCATTTCTAATACCTATAATGAGATGTTAGGTCAATACCTTATCTTGCAGTGTGTGTATATACATATTAAACTTTCCCTCTATGCTGTGTTTTCTAATGCAGGAATATCAGACATTAATGACCCAGTAGAGAAGATACTGGGGTGCAGAAGAGCTTTCCCAGTGTCCCGGGAGCCATTCTACAGAGCATCCCACAGCATGACTTTGGATCTGCTGTGCTTAGTTTCTGTACTTGTGAAAACAGAGTGATAGTAGCACCTACCTCACAGATTAGAGGAGTTCTTTCATGGAAAGCTCTACAGCAGTTCTTGAGACTTGCTGAATGCTCAACATGTGTTAATTATTATTACCATTATCAATGTTTGATGTAAAAGCCTTTCTGAAAGAAATTACACCAGAACATGATCAGTTAAAAATATATATATGAATGAAAGCATGTTTGGCACAGTCACAACGCAGAGTGGCATAATGGTTAAGAACAGCGGCTTTGGAAGTCAACCATCTGTGCTCTAAGCCTAGTGCCACTACAGGACCACTGTGGGACACCAGGCCTCAGATTTCTAGCCTGAAAAATGGGGGAACAATGTCTGTCATATAAAGTTGCTGTAAAGATCAAACCAGCTAAGAAACAGAAAATACTGAACAGTGCCTGACACAAAATAGACACCCAATTAATGGTAGCAGGAAGAAAAGAGTGCTCTTTAACCAAAATTTTACCTTCAGAAATTGCTTAAGAAGAAATTAGTGCTTGGAAATCTTACTGTTAAAGCTGGGGCACACAAATAACCCCAAGATGTGGCCCAACTGAGAAATTAGACACCTGAGTCCTCAAGTCTCGGGACTTGAGAACATATCACAGATCTGGGGCCAAGTAGACTTCCCAGTACCCCAGTCCTGAATTAGGCATATGTGCCCTTCAGTTCTTGGCTGAGCTGGACTGAGGCCTCCTCCAAAGGGAGAGATGAATGTGCACACTGAAGAAAGCTGACTCTGAAAGAGACAGAAACCCACAGAGGCGGAGGTTCACCAGCACAGCTACTTCCAAGCACACTCTTCAGGTAAGTCATTTCTCTTCCCAAGAGGAGGACTGACTGAGTTTATGGTGAGAGGCTGAAAGCTTTTCTCCTTTATTTTGCCCTCATGAGAGAGGAGTAGAAGTGCTATCCTCTCTGTGGGAAACTGCAGACTGTGGAAGTTTCCCCCAACACTTAGCGTTGACTGATTTATCTGCATGTTTCTATATCCACATCTTCGATATGAAGAATCTAAGTGAGAATAGCCTCCAAAGTAATCTGATAGACACATTATAAGTATAAATATTGTTTACTCTCCTTGTGGTAGTTTGTCCTCAAGATGATCACCACCAATTTCTCCCCTCCTTTTATATACACACTTTTCCTCCATCTGGAGGTGGAGTCTGTTCCTTCACCCTGTTGAATCTGTGCTAGCCTGTGACTACTGTGACTGGTACAATACAGCAGCCTGATGCTGCCTGGACTCTAGGACTGGATCATAGGTGTCTTACAACTTCTGCCTGGCTCTTGTGGAATGCTTGCTCTGGGAGATATCAACCCCCTTGTAAAAATCAGACTGTCTTGAAACCTCCATGCTATGAGAAAACCCAAGCTAGCCATGTAGAGAGAGAGAGAGAGGCCCAGCCAGCCTCCAGCTGTTCCAGCCATCTTAACTGAGGCATCAGGCATGAGAATAAAGAATCCACCTTAGATTTCCGACTCAGTCCGTTCAGAAGATTCCAGCCCTAGCTGAAACTCACAAGAAATTCCAAGTTAAAACCATGCAGGTGAGCCCAGTCAACCCAAAGAACCATGAGAGATAACAATCATTAATAATAATTTCAGTGACTAAGTTTCAGGGCTTTGCTATGAAGCAAAAGATAACCAGACACTCCCTTTGTAGACTCTACCAAATTTTTCACTAAGCCTGCTTCTTGTTGTGGTTGTTTTTTTAAATCTAACTCAAATAGTGCTTGAACAACTAAGGCTAATTTTTATTCAAAGGACTTTAACATTCAAGATGGATGATGCTTGGCATTTGTTTTGGTGTTACCTGAACAAAACAGAAAAACTCTCCTTCTGCAATCTTCACTAAGGATTGATCTTTAATCCTCAATTAAAATGCTTTATAAAAACAAATGAAATTGGGTTCCTTCTAGCAGGCTAAATGTCACATCTCTAATGCAAATAATAGACTGGATAACAGAAAGAATGAATATTTACCATGAAACTAATTTCCTATAATTTGATGCCAATTAAGATTGTAATTGCTTCCTCAGTATCACCAGATCATTCACAGTTTCAGGAAGTACTAGTATATTTGGTTACATATATTTAACTTGTGTAAACTCTTCTGTGAGTCATTATTTCCAGAGAAAAATGGAACTTGAAACCAGGAACACTTCTGAACTAATTTTCTGTAATGGTAGACCTTACAATCAGATAAATTAGTTAAGCCAGTAATGCAAATGAATCAATTTTCAGAACCCTGATGTTCAAAGAAATTTAAAAAGACAACCAAAGACACATCCAGGTAGCCATTAATTAGTCCCTCTTGCCTATAGCTCTCTTATAGATTTGATGGCATTTTTCAGTGAAATGCATTCTCTGAATGTAGGTTAGGACACCAACGGATCAAAATGCCCATGATTGGGACATGATGTAGACACTGACTTATATAGAGGAGGATGTCACATGTTTGCCTGCTAGGAACATTTTTCTGAAGACTAAAGATATTCTGTCGGCAAGACTGTGCTTATTTTTCTGGCTAAGGAAACCAGGATACTTGAGACTTGCGATCTTCCAACTCCCTGGTACTCAGGGTTAGCCTCTTTATTTCTCTGAGCTTCTATTTACCCTCTCGGGGCCAAAAAAAAAAAAAAAAAGAATGAAGAATGTGTGGAATTTAGGAATTTGGCACATGAACTAATTCATGTAAAAGCGACCTGCTTGATCTCTGACTTTTATAGCAAATGATATATACATAAGAACACATGGAGAGGAGAACTCTACAATTCCCCAAAGCCCAGGCCACTCTGTTGAGCACTTTGAGCACCACTGGAGGCAGCTTATATTAACTCTTATAGACAACAAGTAAATTGCTATATTGGTATAGCTTCCACCCAAGAGGATCTTGCTAGGATCTGATCTGTGTTCAGAGCCAGTGTTGGTGTTTCTGTCCCAGAGGCATTTCTGCTGTTTTAACCAAACTATTTCACCTGCTAAGCCTACAATTCCAGATCATCTCAACACACTATTATCCAACCAGACATGGAGAGCAGAGCAGCCCCATCTCAGTTCAGGCAGCAAATGAAGCCACACAGGCAAGTAAATGACATCCTTCCCATCTTGGGCCTTACAACCAAGAAGTCTATGCTCTTTTTGCCACCTACTCTGGGCATGTGGTCAAGTCTTGGGATAAAAGGTACTGAGCAGAGATGCAGCAAGTAAAATACCAGGCTTTGGTGAAGGCCCACGAATCACTGTCATTGGTTCTAAAGCATGAAACTTGGTTGGTTTTCCCAGCCCTGAAATACGAGGAGCTCCTTTGGGACCTCTCCCAGGAATGTAGAACCATATAAAGGAAAAAAGGTGGCGGTAGGAGAGAAGGGAGAATGCAGATAGAGAAGGAACTATAGACAGGGAAGTTGAAGAGGTAGTCTCTGAGAGATTGATCTCCAAGGATACATATGAAAAGAAAGGCTTTTATTTGGACATAGCTTTACATGATTGCTTTTACTGAAAATAGGAGTCAATAATAGACTGAGAGAACTGGATTCAAATTTTTTAAATCTGTGTTGCAAGCAATTCTAAAGTCAACACATGATAAGATGAACACGTAAGTCCTTTCAGGAAAGCAAACATGATGTAAGTCAAGTAGATACGATATCAGTAGTAGAGGCAGCCCAACGTGATCATAGCTTTCTTTGTCTTTATTCTCTACATTGATGGGAAATTTGTGATTTTTTTCATCCAGTAACAAAATCAATAGAACTGTGACTTATATTTCACAATTTAAATCGATCATTTTATACACTTTAAAAGTTCAATAATATTTCCTACACTTACACTTTTTCAGAAAATTTCAAGGGGACATACCCCAAACTTTTCCCAGTGCTTTGTGAATATTGTCATCTCTAACTATTTGTCTCCAATCTAGGTTTTACCTTACATTGACTTTGAAAAAATGGAACTCAAAAGGCTAAATAAAATATAAACTAGTCAGAAATCTGAAATCCTGTGAAGGGTTGTGGCAGATAATTTAAATGAAAGTTATTTTGATTGTCACTAAAAATAACAATTGAGTGTCATGCTGACATGCATGGTGCAGTAAGCCCCTGGTATTTGGGGATTTAATATTCAACATTTTGAATGTTCTTAAATGACCCTGAAAGTCCATAACATGGAGTAATTTGTAATTTTGATGAGACAGAAATCTCAATTGCCTGACCTGGGAGGCAGGCGTGAGTCATTTAACTAGATACCATGACGCTTTCTCTACTTGTTTCCTTGTAGGAGTTTTCCGGATTTGGGAACTTACAAAGTTCTCAGGGATTTCTTCACAAACATTTATATAATTAATACAGTGTTAGAAACACTTAAAATGGTAGTAAATGGGTAAGAGTACAAATACATAGAAATATTTGAAGAATTATAACCAGTGTAGAACATTAACATGTTAAGAAATCTCAATGAATACTTATTTGTATTGATTTATTATTAAATGGAATAATGTATGTTAAGCATCTACCACAATGTCTGACACATGGTGGGGTGTTCTTTAAGTCTGAGTTCCCTTTTCTTTGCTTCGTATTTGCTGTTGAAACATTTATATGGTAGCTTCCACTTACAGATAAATTCCTTTAAATTAGATAAAAGAAGAAAATACCAGAGACTATCACTGTTTTTCGTTGCTTTTTAAAAAAATTTTCCAGGATTTCAGCAATGTTTAGTGCAAAATCTGCTTAAGATAAGGGGTTTCTGTTGTAAGCCCACACTTGATTTAGCAGTCTATATTTATGTATAGCGACAGAGGCATTGATTATACATTCTCTTAATCTGCAGCATCACAGTATGACAGGATTAGGAATCTGGTCCCATATGCAGATGTTAGGGTGTGTGGCAAAATTGAGACACTTCAATAAATTTGCTTTTGAAGATTAGAAATGGGTGCTTGATACACCCATTTGGCTTTTCTCGGTGTCTGAACACAGCATCTCAGTAATCCTTCTGATGGCAATCTCATTAATGTGTCTTTCAGATCACATTACATTTACACACATACCATGTCTGCTTAAAAATCAAATAAGCTTAGGTTTCATTAAGATGAAATATTCACTTTTTAAAATAAGTGAATATTTCAATAAATGACACTGAAATAACTTTTCTCAGACTTGGTAATTTACACATTTTGCAGATATTCAAATGAAAGCTGGTCCAAAATGCAGCCATTATTGTTCTAAAACTCAGGAAGCTCAGTGGTTTTTGATGCATCTCTGTTACAGATTTTCATAATTAGAGGATCCTATGATTTGGTCTTAGAGTTTGGACATTTCTCGGGGGGAGGGAGTGTTTTTGATAACGTCTGCCCCCAACCTGGGTTTCTAAAGCATGGTAGTTTCACAGGAGTGACAAACAATAGAAATCGGTCAATTGTTTGGTCATCAAAACATGAATATGGTAATTCACACCAACCACTACTGTCCCTTCACTCAAAATAATGAGAAACCAGTTATACATTTGCATGAAAATTGAAATTTAGGGTGGCTTTACAGTTGTGATCTGCTCTTCCACTCCCTCTCCCTTTAACTGCCTTAGGTTTGCAAACTGCTTCAGCAACCATCAGCCAAGAAATGTGCATGTTATCTGCAAATCACAGATCACAGATCTTGACTCTAGTGATTGTAGAGGGAGAAGTGCTGAAGGGTTCATAGTGGCCAGAACAAGACTTAAAAGTGATGTGAAATAGGGAGCAGAG